ATACATACATACATACATACATACATACATACATACATTTTTGGGGAAGGATCCCAACTCTAGCACAAGCTGAGGTAGTTTCAGGAACTCAGCTCCCCATTCACTGGTGTGTCTGGGCCGCCCCTTCCAGATGTCAGTGTCGAAACGTACTCGGAAGGCCTCCAGCGACCTGGACCAGGCCAGCGTGTCCCCCTCTGATGAAGAGAACTCAGAAAGCTCCTCCGAATCTGAGAAGACCAGTGACCAGGTGAGCAGGTGGGCATGTCCTGGAAGGGGTGGGGAGAGTCTGGTGAGAGCCAAACAGTGCCATCCCACACGACCCACCCTTCCCACCCTCCACCCAGGACTTCACCCCCGAGAAGAAGGCCGTGGTCCGGGCCCCACGACGCGGCCCTGTTGGAGGAAGGAAGAAAAAGGTATGGGGTCGATTTTGTTATGTTTTGTTTTTAACACGCCCATCTGTGGGAAACCCCTAGAGGCTTCTCACTGTCCCCCGGGGAGGAAAGGATCTCTGTCTGCTGGGGGTGGATAGGGGGGAGTGACACAGACATCTTCTGGAGCGCTGATGTGGGTAAGGGGCGGGGCCTCCCGGAGAGCGTGCATGCACACATGTATACACCTTCTCGTCAGCTGCCAAGGGGACCAGCGCATCTAGCGGGGTCTCCCCGCACTATACCAGGAGTGCGGAGCTGAAAGTTGCGCCTAGAATGGGTTTCTTGTGTCACAAACAGGGAATGGGCCCCAAAAAGGTTGCACCTTGATCAAGCAGCTTTTCAAATACCCAGCCTGTGATTTGACCTGAACACAGGGTGTCCCAGGACACTGGAGAGGCATGGCTGGGCCTCGAAGAGTCATTGGGCGGGGGCGTTGGACCCAAGAGAAAGTCTCTTACCTGCTTCTCTGACACCCAGGCCCGGCCGCTTGCGGCCTCTCCCCCGAAGGTGGCCTCGGCCTCCGACTCGGATGCGGCCAAGGACGAGCCTGTGGCCATGGCGAGGTCCGCGCCCTCGTCCTCGTCTTCCTCCTCCTCTGAGTCAGACGTATCTCTGAAGAAACCTCCGCGGGGCAGGAAGCCAGGTAGGGGCTCCGCGCGGCCCCGCCCCCGGCCCCGCCCCCGACCCCCAGGAGCCGGTGGTCACCCAGCCCTTCTCTCCCTAGCTGAGAAGCCGCCCCCGAAGCCCCGTGGCCGGAAGCCGAAGCCCGAGCGACCCCCGTCCAGTTCGAGCAGCGACAGGTGGGTATCAGAGCCCTGGGGCCAGCCCTGGCCCCCACCTCCCCTCACCCTGCCCCACTGCCCACAGCGACAGTGACGAGGTGGACCGCATCAGTGAGTGGAAGCGCCGTGATGAGGCGCGGAGGCGTGAGCTGGAGGAGAAGCGGCGCCGTGAACAGCAGGAGGAGCTGCGGAGGCTGCGTGAGCAGGAGAAGGAGGAGAAGGAACGGCGGCGCGAGCGGGCCGAGCGCGATGATGCTCCTCGCAGTGGGGCCAGCGGGAGCAGCGGCGACGAGCTCCGTGACGAGGACGGACCTGTCCGGAAGCATGGTGGCCGTGGACGGGGCCGAGGGCGCGGTCCCCCATCCTCGTCCGACTCGGAACCTGAGGCCGGGCCTGACAGAGAGGTGTGTGGGCGCGTGCGGCCTCCCCAATGCCCCCATCCATGTGACCCTGTTCAGCCCACTGCCCAGATGGTTAAGTGCTGGGACTCCGTGAAAGGTTGGGGGCTGAAACCCATCCAGAGGTACCTCGTTAGAAAGGCCTGCTCCCCAGAGGTCACAGCCTTGAAAACCTTGTGGAGCCCGGTTCTTAATGGTAACTGACTTGGTGTTTTGTTTTTTTTATGGAGTGCTTACTATATACAGGGTTCCTCTGAGTCACAACCCACTCCATGGAACCTAACTATGTACTATCCCCAGTCTGAGAGCCAGGGAAGTAGCACTGAGTGAAACCTAGAAACCCCTACCTAACCCTGGAGGGGCTGACATCCAAGTCAGGTGGATGCAGGAAGGGCAGCAGGGGTAGGAGCTGTGGTGTGCACAGAGCCTCCGGGAATAGGACAGGGGACACAAGGGGTGGGGGCAGGGTGCTCTCCCTAAAGGACGGGTCTGGATGACCCAGCAAGGTGGAGGGACAGTGAAGAGGCCCATGTGACTGGAGGTGTGCAGGGACGGGCCACAGGGAGGACTTGACCTTTTGACCTGAGGGAGGTGGGAGTCCTGGAGGGTTGTGGGCAGAGGAGGGACAGGCCTGACTCAAGTAGTCATGGGCGCCCTCTGGGCCCCACCCCAGGCTCTGGGCCCCACCCCCACCCCAGAGGGCTGTTGTGTGCCCCCCACGTTCCAAGCACTCAGTCTGGCCTGAGTCCTGTGTGTGACTTCAGGCTCTGATTTTTGGGGCTGCCTTCAGCGCTGTCTCACAGTGAGGATCTCTGAGCCTGGGCCCCTCCACTCAGAAGTAGGAAGTGTATTCCCACCCCAGCCCCAAGGCATCACACCCCTGAGGTGCTTCCAGCAGAGCTCCTGTAGATAGAGTGGCAGAAGGGAGAGGCACGAAGCATCCAGAAGTGTCCAGAATGCTGTCTGTGAGTGGGTCTCTTCCTGGCCCCCCAAGCTTTTCACTCCTCCACTGTTGTAGGCAAAGAAGTCCACAAAGAAACAGCCGCAGCCCCTGGAACCTGTGAGGAAACCCAGTCAGAAAGAGAAGAAAGGACGTCCAGAGGACAGACCCCGAGCCAAGTCAGTCCCCACCTTCCCAGCCCCCCACCACCCTGGGCCCTTCCTATCCACTGCCCCCAGAGTCCTCCCACTCTCAGAGGCCCCTCACCCCTCACCTTTGTAGCCAGATCTGAGATCAAGTGCAAGTGTCCCGTTCTGGGGTACCATTGGGTGGTGGAGGATGACACTACTGCCTGGGGACAGTGTCGCTTTCGCAGCATCCAGTGGATGGAGGCTAGGGATGGTGTTTGGTGCCCAGATGCTACACCCCAGGGAAAGTTCCAGGTCCCCTGTTAGCAGTGCCCAGGGGAGGGACCCTGCCCTAGAGTGGAGGCTCTCAGTGCCCAGGAGGTAGGGGGACTGTCCTCATTGGAGTCATCAGGGCCTTGGGACACCAGTTCCATTTGATGCTGTGTCTATGAATGTCAGGTCTCAGTGCCTTGTGGTAACTTGCTTACTGGGACTCTTACTAACTTGCTTGCTGCCAAGTGTAAAAGAACTGCGTCTCACAAGATTCCAAGAAAGGACTCCTGTCTTTGATGGCCTCCCTCGGGGCAGTGCTTGCAGCCCTGCGAGAGCCCTGCTTCTAGGCTCCTGGTCCCTCGGCACGAGGGGGACGTAGTCTGACTGCAGTGGGGTCTAAGGGAAGACACTCTCTGCAGGCCCCCAAAAGTGGAGCGAACCCGGAAACGGTCTGAGGTGTTGCCCCCTGACAGGAAGATGGAGAAGAAGAAAGGTGAGGGTCTGTTCTGGGATGAGTCGGGAGGGGGGCTGGCGCGCTGCACAGGGTGGAGCTGGCCTGCAGGGACCCTCACTGGCCAGCTCCCTCGTGCCCGCAGAGCCCTCTGTGGAGGAGAAGCTGCAGAAGCTGCACAGTGAGATCAAGTTCGCCCTGAAAGTCGACAACCCGGTAAGGCCGCCCTCAGCCGCCTTGGGGAGCAGGCCGAGCTACCCGCAGGGTGGTGGATGGGCTCCCCTGGCATTCTCCTGGAGGAGGAGACAGCCCTGCAGCCGGCACTGTCTCCGTCCTGACCCCTACAGGACGTGAAGCGGTGTCTCAGTGCGCTGGAGGAGCTGGGGACGCTGCAGGTGACCTCCCAGATCCTGCAGAAGAACACGGACGTGGTGGCCACGCTGAAAAAGGTCCGGTGGGAGTGCAGAGGCTAAAGGGATGGATGCAGATGGGCACCAGGGCAGGTTCAGGTCACTGTGGGCCAGCGTTGGAGCGGGGGCAGGTGTGCTACCCTTTCTGAGCCCGGACACTCTGTGGACCAGATCCGCCGCTACAAAGCCAATAAGGAGGTGATGGAGAAGGCGGCTGAGGTCTACACACGGCTCAAGTCACGGGTGCTGGGTCCCAAGATCGACGCCATCCAGAAAGCCAGCCGAGGAGGAGCGGAGAAGACAGACCGGCCCGAGGAGGCCCCAGCTGGAGAGGAGGTGCCCAAGGATAAAGCGGAGGGCGAGCCAGGCACTGGTGAGAGCTCACCCCTGCAGCAGCCCCAGAGACTGTGGAGGCCAGGGAGAGGCCATGGCTGCCATCCCAGTTCCCAGTCAGGGGCAGCTACTCTCAGACCTCACTGTGGGGTGCACGTACATGGGTACCAAGCAGGCTTACCAAGCAGGCGTGTCTGGGTCAGGGTGTGGTAACTCCACAGAGGGGCAGTGGTGGAAGCCTGGGGGCCATGGAGGGGCTGATGAGAGAAAGGACATCATTGTAGGGAGAGTGCTGAGGGAGCGAGGGAGCCTGGGTTCTCCTGCGAGATGTTCCGAGAAGCCCCTGCTGTGTGCTGACGCTGTTTTCTTGTATTGGTGGCGACATGTTTTGTCCCCACGTTGCTCACTCGTGGACCTGCCCTGGGCTGCCACGGGCAGAAGATTTGATCTCACCCTGCTGGGAGGGCTCCCTTAGGGCCAGGGCATCTGACTAGGGAAACAACGCTGGTGAGGGTGAAGGTGCAGGGAACTCTAGAGGAGGGGTTTTCAGCATCCCTGTCCTCTCCTGGTGACCCCTCTCTCTGCCCAGACCTCGCCACCCCTGTGAATGGCGAGGCTGCATCCCAGAACGCCGAGAGCACAGGTGACCGGGAGCAGGAAGACACACAGAACTCTGAGGAGGTCCCCCGGGGTGATTCCTCTGAAGACACCCATGATGAGTAAGTGTGAAGGCCCCTGCTGCCTGATTTGCTTCCGGGAGTCAAGGGTCCACCACCACTTGCCAGGCCTCCCCATCCGACCTGTGCAGCTGACCCCCAGGGGCATGGCTGCCAACACTTTCATGGGCCCATTGCAGAGGCATGCACCCCCGACCTCCGGGAGCTGTCAGGCCCCTTCAAGGCGCCTAGTGCCCGGGCTTGGCGCTCCACACTTATTTTTTAAACTCTTTATTGTGAATTGAGTGAAGGTTTACAGAGCAGACCATCAGTTTTACATTCAACAAGTCAAACACTTGGAGTCATTACAATGATTGCAGTCCCCTTCGCGGACCATCACTTACCAGTATTAACCTCAGTTCACTTTAACTCCTGAATTCCTGCGTCTCTTTCCAGTGCCAACCTCACTCTTATTGCATATTGCCTGCCCCATTTGTCACCCAAGTCCTCTCTGTACCTCTAATGCCATCGGAACTGTGCCAGGACTGGTGTAGGCGGCAGGGATTTGGGCCTCCCCTCCCGGTGTTTACAGTGGCGCCACCCTTAAGAAAACGGCTGGCGGCCTCTATGCTACCCCCGCACAGTGCTCCCCCGTTCTTCCCCAGTGGTAGGAGATGGGGCTGGAGGACGAGCCCAGGGCTGGTTCCTCACCCCATGTCCTGTCCCTTCAGCATTCAGGAGGGGCCGGACCCCGACAGACCTGGGAACGACCGACTGGAGCATGAACGGGCTCGCATGGACTCGGAGTCCCTAGATGAGGAGAGCTGAGCCTGGATGTGCCCACCTGCCACCCTGTTGCCCTCCCCAACTGCCCCACCTCCACCCTGACCAACGCCCAGGAGAACAGAGAACTTACGGGGAAGCTGTACCAGTCCTTTGTCTCTGTCCCCTGGGAGTTTTCTGCCTAATTTCTGTGATTTCCAGCCGACATGAAATGAATATAAAGGGTTTTTTAATGAAAAACAAGATCACTTTTATTGGCTTGGTTTTCTAGCATTGCCAGTGTGTCCAGGGATAGAGTTCAGCTTCCCAAGGGCCCAGCTGGGGACAGAGGTGCCAGTCACCTGAGACCCTGTGAACGGAGCGTGGGGCTGGCTGCAGAGAAGGAACTATCTAGACTCTGTGGGTCATGTGGAGGCTGGGCTGAGACACGCTGTGGGTGTCCATTTCCCCTGCTGTTGAGAGCCCTGAGTGCTGGGATGAGGCTCAATCGCTGGCTTGCTCTGTTGCCCTGGGCAGTAACCCCACTGACCTTCTCTCTCCTCACCTGTGATGGAGTAGGGCCCTGCTTCCTGGCTAAGAAACGCCATGGGTTTGTGGGAGTGGAGGAAGCAAGTTGGGACATCTATGTGGGGATTAGGAGTGTAATTTGGAGGGCCTGCAGGCCCTGGTGACAGTGGGTTGCCAGGGTCAAGGCCCCATGGCTGTGAGTGATAAGACAGTTGTGGAAGCTTCCATGATGTCACATCAGGTGTCACCTTTCCTGCTTCATTCAGCGTGCAGCCAGTGTTTCTGTAACCATGGCGACACCTCCTGCCCCCCCCTCCCCCATTCATTCTGCCTTGTGGCAACTCTGAGAAGAGGGTGCAGTGCAGCAAGATGGGGGCTAGTCAGCATGGCGCGGGGTCAACTGAGCAAGCGCTAACAGGTTTCCAACATAGCAGCCTCAGAGCAGCAGAAGAACAGCTGAAGGCAGGTGGGGTCCCCCCAGTGGACTTCTGCTGTGTCCATCACAGGCCAGGTGGCCTGGCATTTCTGCTGAGGGACAGTGGCTGGGGAGGCAGGCTCGGCTCCCACACAACCCCTGGTGCTCAGAGGCACAGGGAGTCAACAACCACGGACCGTAGGGAGCATGTATTGGAAAACGCCTGCTTCAGCTCAGCTTTTGGAGAGGCCCTTTGTTCACTCCTGAGGGACTAGGGGACTTGTGGGTGTGTCTAGATTGGCAGCACTGGGTGGGCCAGTCAGTGGTGGAGGCACCTGCAGTCCTCAAGCCAGGGTCTGCTGCTGGCTTTGTCCCAAAGATCCCCCGAGTCATACCAGACTCAGGAGAGGCACAGGAACCTGCCCTGGGGGTTGCGGCATTGTGTCCTGACCTAGTGTGCACTCGGAGCAGAGCCCGAGGGTGGAGAGGTACAGCCACCTGGGACTTGGAAACTAAGGGGTGCAGTCTAGGTAGAAAGGGTTCCTAGTGTGTGTGGCCACCTCTCATCTGCCATTGTGCCTACTGGGTTAACTGCCGATGGGGTTTCGAAATACCAGCGGGGTTACCCATGGTGGACAGGTTTCTGTGTAGTGTTCAGCTAAGACTACCATCCAGAAATGATTGGCTGAAAATCCAATGGGTCACAACAGAACAGTGTCTACTATGTGCTACAAGATGTGCCCCCTAAGCTGTAAGGCACTGAAACGACATGGGGGCTTGTAGAGATGGTGGCCTGGAGCAGATGAGTTGTGAAGATGGGCTGGACATGGCAGTGTTTTGGTT